TTCGCGATGCTTTCGGGAATAAAACATTTGCAGAACAGAGCCCCTTTTACAACCTTATAACTTCTAAACACCCTGTCAAAACCCTTCTGCCAACCCTTAAGACAAGCCGTATAAAGACACTCCAAATGCTAAATCCGGCACCCAGACCCTTAAGAAACCTTCTGACCTCTGAACCTAATCCCGAAACTGCAAACCCTTAAACCCAACCCCTTAACCCCAAGCGCATACGGAGCCCGTGCACAGCCCTTACAGTATTATAGAACCCTTTATGGAACCCCGTCCAGAGCCTTTCGGCAATCCTGACAGATCCCGTATAGAACCGCCCCCAGAAGCACTTAGAGTTCTCAGCCCCAATAAACCCTAAACCCTACACCCCAGACCCTAAGGAGCCGCGACAGAGCCCCTGTAGCACCTTGAGGACCCCTAAACCCTAAACCCTATAAACCCTATAAACCCTATTAACCCTAAACCCTAAACCCTATAAACCCTAAACCGTAAACCCTATAAACCCTATAAACCCTAAACCGTAAACCCCACCCATGAAGATCTCAGCCTCTCTTCAGCTCGTGCCTGGCCTGGCCCAAGCTCGCGGCAGCTACGGGCTTCGACGCGAAGCTCCGAAAGCCTCGGGGCAGAGATCAGTGGAATTGGCGTTTTCGGTTTAGGGTTCCTTTCAGGGTTCCCTTCGGGGTTCCTTCAAGGGTGCCTTGAGGGATTGCCAAGGGTTCCTACTGGAGAGTTCGATGAAAAGTTCTATGAGAAAAAAAGGGCCTATATGACTAGACTAGAATGTTCGGGGTGGTATTTTACAGTAGGTGTATAGTAAGGAGCTCAAGTCAATGGTCTTAGCGAGCTACTCTAGCATCCTTGAAAAGCTAGGCTTTCTTAAAGCATTTCGGCTGCTTTTGATTTCCGTGAGGCTTTAATGCAACTACGGGTTTTAGGGTTGGGGGTCCAGGGCTTTAGGGTTTTCGGGCGTCAGGGATTGTTTTTGGGCGGTATTTCTTGGTTGGCTAGGGCCCTTGTGTAGGATCCCAGAAGAATTTGTCACTGTTGCAGTTGGGGCCACGTGTTGTTGCTTTTCGTTTGTACAGGCTCCTCTTCAAAGCTGGCGTGTCGGAACTGATGCTTCCGGATTAAAGTTTCGGGCAACTCAAATTATGGTATCTCTATCAAGCTAAAAACCTGGCAACTCAACACTGATCTAATTCGTGTAATCAAGCCCCAGCGCTACAGTTTAGGCTTCGAGATGCACTGGCATTTTGCGGGTTCAGCCCCTGAGGGGACTTTCGGCTGCAAGGGGTTGGTGATTGGAAGCACTTGTTTGTCGCTGTCTGTGTGGGTGTGTGGTTTGGGGTTTGGGGTCTGCGCCTTCCCCCTTGAGACCCTACCCCTGAAGCACGAACAAAGGGCCCTAATCCGATACCCTGCTCTCTGTTGTACCGCCTCACGACATCTGACCAAAATGCGCTGAATGTAATGGTCATTCGAGTCTCTGTCCTGAGAGCTTACAGGGTTTATGCCCAAGCAGCCACAGCCCTGAGCAGCACACTTTATCAAATAATAATTCGGTTCGTACCCATAGGCCCCATAGTAGTTCCTTTTTGGGATCACCTAATAGGATCCTAAATATAAGTCACAAAAAGGAACTACTATGGGGCCTATGGGTATGCCAGAATCACAAGCTGCCTTGGGATTCTGGCAAATCATGGCTTGCCATGTCTTGGAGCTAGCCCCAACCGTTTGCGAGCCCTGAACAAACATGAACCCCGCATTGCTTCCCATGGTCTAAGCGGCCCCACGCTACTTTTCAGGAGGGGCATCACACCTGCAGGGCAGTGGTTCAACAAATATCGTCCCACAAACTAGCCATAGGCTACGGGTACTCGGTTAAGATCTTCTGAGACGGCATTCCGACTTGTTCCTCCGAGCCCTGACGCATAATTCTTCATGAACAACCCATCGATCTTTGTTAACAAGATTTCCTAAACCCTATGGACCCTAAACTCAAGAACCTCTTCATTTTTTGAAGTGCCAGGGCACGCTCGGAGAGGTCCCGGATGCCCAAACCTTTCAGAACCTCAGACACCCAGGTTGTTTGGGGCTTAGGGCTTAGGAGCCTGAATAGATAGAACAGGGCGTTGGGGCCCAATCTAATTTAGACTAAGATTATAATCAGGAACCCCCAAAATAGTCTAGGTAATTATTTGGGCCTCTATAGTAGGGCTTAGGGGTTTGGGGTTTGGAGTTTCGGGTTTAAGTGTTTGAGGAGTTTAGGGTTTGGGATTTAAGGGAGCCCAAGTACAGGATGGATACGACTACATGGTTGCGTAACCGTAGCATTGAGGGTTCCTGTAAGAGCACAGTGTGATATGAGGGCCTTCATTGTTCGCCTAGGTTTTTGGCTATTGCAACAATGTAGAACTATCAAACATACTGGTACGGGGACGGTTAGCGAAGACATGTGAAGACTCTTGGCTAGTACTAGTTGGTGGCGCGCTAGTATTGAGATCCCTCATTGGCCTAAACTAAAAGGAGTACACATGAGCGTGTTCCTACGGTCGCTTTACTAGATTGCACATTGGTTCTTCACCGTCCTCAGCGAAGGAAAACGCTCGTCTTCGTCTGGAGTGCAATTACATCGGACGACCCTTTCTGCACAGCTTACGCAGTCTCGCAAGGCTCAAGCGTGCGGCCTCATGCCACAGTGAAGCTACCAAGACTACATGAGGTTTTCCCCTCCCACTGATGTCTGTGTGGAACACCCTCGTCACCTCCGAGTGATGCACCCAAAATAATCACGGAGAATATTGCCCGGCATCTCATCTGTCCCCATGCTTCGACCCCCAACACGTGTGGGATTACTCCAGCACTGCCCAGCCCCCAGACACCGAATTCCAGAGTCATGATGCGCTTGGGGTTACAGGGTTATAAAGCCAAGGGCTTGATGTATGCCAACACCCCCAAAACGCTGGAGGATCCTAAACCCTCAACCCTAAACCCTAAACTTTGATTCTGATCTCTTTGCGGAATTTGGGCACCGAGCCAATTTCACAGCCTCGTCGTGGTCGAAGGGCGCCACGCCATCCTCGAAAACTTGCACACAAATAACCTGATACTGATAGAGGGGTCCTACTAATTAGAAGAGGGTTTTGGGGCATACTACATAATAGGGATTACACGGGGAGATTATTTCTGACTTTTCCGATCCCCCACGGCTGAGAGCTTGCAGTTGGTTGCGGACTGAGGGCTTCAAGGGCACTTCTCTTCCCGATTAAGAAGTGGTGTTGGGACTTGGAATACGCTTGTGTCATAAGTGACGGTGAAGACTTAAACAAAACCTGCGAAGAGTTGAGGCACGCACTAAACGCTAAACAGAACCATACTTTGCTGCACACCCCCCGCCCCCCACTCCCCCGTCCCATTCCTCGCACCCCCACACCGACCCTTTGCATTCTCCAGCTCGGAGTTCTTGCTACGGTCCACCCAAATACAACAGTCGAAGCCTGAAACTCCAGCCCTGGAGCCTTCAAAGCCAAACTCCTAAACCTTAAGAATCCCAAACTGTCTGAGCCTCAACAAACCCTGAACCCTGAACTCGCAACCTTATAAACACCTTGAGCAGGATCCAAAAGTGTCCTGGAACTCCTGAAACTCTGCGAGGAAAATCTCGCTGAGCACGTCCGGGCGCACGGACAGCGACTGACCTCGGGTACGGACCGTCTTTCGGTACCTATCTTTCGGGATTAAGGCGTAGGGTTTTGAGGGTTTCGGCTTTAAGCTTTGAGTCGAAGTCAACTTCTTTTGGTGCTACGGGGCGTGGAGACTGCAGCCCTTAGGGCTGACGCCGCACCTTGAGACAACTCAGGCCGGGCTCTGCAACCGGCTGTGAGATGCAGAGACTTGCAGCGTCCAGCGGGTCCGGCTGCGGCTCATCAGTGCGCCTTGATGGACGCCCGGCACGGCAGATGCGAATATGGCCAGAGATCGTGGTGCAGACCATAGTCATATGGGGCACTCTGTCCCACTTCTTTGGATAAAACCCACACACCCTCTGTCAGCTCAGACATGGGCATACTCTGAAGCATCCCCGCTGCCCTAGCGAGGTCGTTCAGGGCAGAGTTGGAGATGGGTTTTCTGGCTTTCTCCGGTCTGAGACGAGGCTTTGTGGCATCAGGGCCTGGCCCGCTAAGCCTTCTCGATTCAGGGTTGAATCTTCTGTTAGGGTTTTAAGGCTTAGGGTTTAGAGTTTAGGTTTTGGGGTTTAGGATTTAATCTTCTGTTAGGGTTTAGGGTGGATTTAGGCCATGGCCCCATGGGCGTTTTGGGCATTTAGGCTTGAGGGCTTGGGGTTCGGCTTCAAAGCAAAGACGATGGTGGTCGCCACACGACACCCCACGCTTCGCTTCGCCGAACCCAAACCAAGAAGCCATAAGCTCCAAAGCCCTCAACCGGTTAATAATGGGTTGAGGTTTTAGGGTTTAGGGGGTAGGGTTTAGCCCTGAATTTCCTAAACCGTCCCCGAATCCCTGAACCGTTTAACTCCTACTCACAACAACATGTTGGGGTCATGTTTACTTGAAGTTTCCGGTCGCTATCTAAATTAGACTCTGAAAGGTCTTATGATTATATGGAACCCCTTACACGACCTCAAAAACTTAAGCCTATGAGGCCATATACAAACAAGCACCCCAAAACACCCTACAACCTTGAAAACCCCCGTGGAGACGCCTTAAAAATCCTTGAAGGATTGAAGAAGTCAGAAAAACTGCTAAACCCCCACATCCCAAACCCTCAGAGAAGCCTTATGGTACCCTAAACCCTGAACCCTTTAAGGTACCCTTGAAAGCAACCTTAAACACAAACCCCTAAACCCTACCAGGTCTTATAAACCCAAGCCCCGAAACCGTATAAAACTCTATCAACACCTGACCTCCTCGTATTAAGCCATTAAGCCCCTATAAAACCTGCAAAACCCTAAATCCAAAAGCCCTAATGTAGGGGCCTTAATAATCAGAATAGGGTTTTGGTGTATATTCTACTATACTTAGAATAAGGGGGCCGGGTAATTGTTACGGCCCCTATATGAGACCCTTAAACCTTAAAGCCCCAAGCCCCATTTATAGCCCTCAACCACAAAATCCTAAGCCCTAAACCCTTTAAAACCCTAAACCCCTAAACCATAAAACCCAAAGCCCTAAACCCTCAACCCCGGAGCCCTATCAACCCCGAAAATTCCAGATGAGACCCCGAACCCTAAACCGAGACATGTGGGCTCCCGGACCCAACTTCACGAAAGTCGGGCCCAAAGAGATGAGGAGCTCCTGAAGCGTTTCTTTGGCTTGGGGCTTAAGGGTATAGGGTTTAGGGTTTTGGGGTTCGGGGCTTAAGGGTTTAGGGTTTGGGGTTGAGGGCTTAAGGGCTTAGGGTTTTGGGGTCAAGGGCTTAAGGGTTTAGGGTTTTGGGGTTAAGGGCTTAAGGGTTTAGGGTTTTGGGGTTAAGGGCTTAAGGGTTTAGGGTTTTGGGGTTAAGGGCTTAGGGTTTAGGGTTTAGGTAGGGTTTTGGGGTGTAGGGTT